GTTAGCAGCCATAAACTATATAAAAAAAATAAGAGAGAAAAAAAAAAGAAATAAAACAAGATGAACTCAAAAGGAAACAAATTAATTAGGCACCAGTCCCTGGCAACGGCGCCAAAAATTGACAGGTTGTCAGCCTGTGCAATAATAAAAACCTGCTCAACTAAAGTTAATTTTTGTAAATAGTGGTAAGTAAGGTCGAATTCACAGGGATTGGGGGTAAATGTTTCTTTTCAAATCCACAGTAACAATGGGGTGTTTTTGTGCAGAAGGTGACAATCAAAGAAATTCAAATGAAATCTAAAAATCAACTAAAAATTAAATAATAATTTACTAAAATCAAATGAATAATAGTTAAGGCTCTAGTCAAGAAATAATTTCAGCAATGGTTCACCTAATTGATCATCGATGCAAAGCCAATTCCAATTATTTACTAATAAAGAGGTTATAACTGCCAAACAAGCGATAACAGTCAACCCCTCCTTACTGTGTTGGTGATTAAGGTACGCCCGTTAATCACTGCTCTAATTGAGAAATAATCCAGGGTACGCCCGTAAGATTTAATGCCCCAACTGTCTTACGTATTAGAGGAGCCCTATTCTAACCAAATAACGCACTACCAGGATTATTTTATATTAGCCTACGTATTCCTCTGACACAAACCCAATCATGCCAGTTGTCACTATTTTAGAGCAATTAAACAATTACGAATTTAACGCTCTAATTGACATCAGGTTGCTAATTTAATTAATTATCCGAATCCAAAACAATCAATTAATTGAACAATCATAAGCTCGTAACCAGGGAATATGCGAATAACAATAAATAAAAGAAAAAAATAAAATTAAATCGATTTCACAATTTTTAGGCGAATCAAAGCATCCGTTATTTTTTGGCTAGAAAAGAGAATTTAGCTCATCCCCGATGCGAAAGACCCACACGAACTCGAAGAGAAAGAAGCGGCCATTGATTGGAAAATGGGCAAATTCAATTCGATCGAAGGCATAAAGAAAAGCAAAGTTGCAGAGATTGATCTAATGTCTTCCCTTCATCCCATCATACGAAGGAAGGAAAAGATACTAAAAAACAAAACGGGAAAAGTCAAAATCTAAAAGAATCCCCTCCAAAGTAGTGCTAGTCCTATGCTATTTCTATATTTCCTATCTAAGTGCTACTACTGTTGTACGACGTCTCTCCAATTGCTAATCCCAGAAAACTCCTAGTTAGCCCAGGAAACGGGCTCCGTTGTAGCACAATTGTGGGCCATGGTTGTAGATCTTTTTGGAAGCTCCTCACGTATTGAATATTTCTCAAGAAGGCCTCCCTTTTTAGTACTTTTCTACTCCACCTCCTGTAATTCAGGCCAAATACCAAATATAAGTATATATTAACAATTAAAACAATATTTAGTAAGGACAAAGGGGAAAATTAACAATAAAATGACCAACAATTAACACCCTATCAGTTTCAATGTTTGCTTCTTCACACTAATTGACTTCTTCCACCTTTGGGGTATAAGGATGTGCTTGAAAGAAAATGCAAGTTGTTGTCGCTCTTTAGATATTTTTTAAAAATAGAAGAGCAATTTTATTTATGATCATTAATCCCCAGCTGATCGAACAAACAATGTGTCTTGAACTTTTATCATTTGTACATAGCAAAGTTGGCTTCCAAACTGAGTCTATCAATTATATCATTGTACCAACGAATTATGAAGGATAGCCCGGGTTTACAATGTATACGTTTGGTAACAAAACCAATATAAAGGCTGTCTGGGTTCACAATTCTTGGAGTGTGTTATTAGTTAAAAGGAGTTTAAATTATATCAGATTCATCCTGATTTGGAACTTTTTCAGCATTCAATGATTTATTATCACCTAAGCTTTCTTAAGTATTCTATTGTAATAACATTGTACTTGCATTCATACAATCTTCGTATTTGTTATTCCTTCTTTTTTTTTTTGGTTTAAAGTATTTACCCAATTTTGTCATTTAAGTTTCTCTTTTCTTTATTCTTTTCCTTATTGGACTTACCTTTTTCTATTCTTCTTTTTAATGTAACTTAGCCAATCTTTTCCCCTTTTCTTCAAGCAAAGAAAAAACCATTCATATAATTGTGTAAATATGATGGCTATCCCAACTATCAATGATTACGCAAAAAAGAAAAAGGATAGTTGATGCATTTATACAATCTTCACATTTAGCATATGAACTTTTTCAAGTGAATAACTACATCTGTGAATTATTCTGCTACATAAATAATCACAAAAAACCTAGAAATCTTGAGAATTTAAAGGTATATAAAATTCTATGAAATCCCCAAATGCATAGATGAAATTTAGAATATGGAAATTGATATTAAAAAATACAAAATTATCAACCCAAAATTATACAAGTGAATATCTTAGCAAGTGTATGGGAGATAATGGCAGATCAACAAAATATTTCTTATTCTTCATCTTGGATTTTTCTTTCCTTCATTTCATTCTTTCTTTTTCTGGGTAAGGAAAAGCCAGGGAATTGTGATGTTGTGATTGACAGGAAAAACTATTGGCACTTTAAGGAGGACTCTGTATTTCATCATTTTTTTTAAAGGGCTTGAAGCCGTTCCCTAATGGTATCTATTGATAGTTTATTGTGACGCATGTCAAGAAAGGATAGGTTGCCGTTTAGAGCTCGAAGGAATTTCAAATATTGAGATTAGTGATGGGGGTTGGTGTGGGCCAAAGTGTAATCGAATCCGGCTGAGCCTTATTTTTAACATGCTCCAACTCGGGTTCGAAATCAACATCGAGCTGGGTATGAGTTTCAATTTTAAGCTTGACTTTCCACTCCATTCAATATTTTGACTTTCGTCATGCTTGAAATTTTGATTGACTTTTTCTTAAAATTTAGGTCCTTCTATTACGTGCACTTAGTAGATTGGATAAAAGGTACTATCAAATTCTTTAATTATCACTAAACCTCAATTCGAAATTTGAAAGAAATATTACTATATCGGTTTGAAAAGAAGTTTATCACTAAACTTCTTGTGCTGACATATGAAATAAGAAAAGAAAAAAGAGTCACTTGTTTTTTTCCTGGCAGGAGCTTACGACGATGAAGAAGGTTACGATGATGACAAGACACAATTCTTAATTTTCCTGTAATCTTGCAAATCTTTGCATTTTTTTCCCTTTTTTGTTGAAGAATTTTTTTTAAAATTTTTTAGGTTAGATAATCATAGCGGTTTTGCTTAATGTATGTAGCTCTCGACGTATGAGAATGAGGTCAACGAAATGGAGGGTCAGTCTAAAGAAGAGTATATTGGATCATTGAGAAGATATGTGTACAAACGCAATTGGCAATAGGATCACAAATTTCCTTTAAATGTTAGAGCTCTTTTTGATTTTCTTCCTATATTAAAGAATTTACTAGGTTCTCCAATGAAAATGTCAAACCTTCATCATTGAAACCGAATCTTCAGCAAAACAATACTTTAGAATCTTAAAGATTCTAATGCAAAACAATAACAAAGATTTCCTTCTCTTTCTTTTCCACCTCCAATCCTCTCTCTCTCTCATCCACAGCAGGAAAGCATATATTATGGCCTACTACTTAGTAGTGTAGTGGGGATTTTTAGGATGGTCATCGCTTAAGTTAGAATATGGAGCAAGAGAATATTAGTTCCTTTTCATTCTCGAAAAACCCTGGTTCACAAAAACTGATAACATAAACGAGGATTTACAGGAGTAGCTCTATTGTGACCAGTTTCTTGCAAAAACAAAGATCAGCAACCATCATAATGGTCGCTTCTTACTGATGCTGCAGGCACCCTTGTAACTATGTTCAAAAGGTGGCTCTTAAACTTGATGAATTTTTTAAAACAAAGCAACGCGGAATTGGTCATTAATAAATGGGTAGACGTTGCTTTCCTTGAGGGTTCCTTTGAATTAATCAAAAGAAGATTAAGAAATGTAAATCAGTTTGACAAAATGGTGAACACGTATGTACTGCAAAACAAGTAGTTGGACAGTTTATTGGCATTTTTGACAACAAAAATTATTGGAAAGTTTCAATCCAATTAAAATGCGACAGACTTTACGGGATTTTATGGTAAATTACATGTAATCACCTTGGATTTTTATATTAATATATGATCTCCTTTACATTTCAAAATATCCGCATAAACCCCTATTGTTTCATGTAATATGAAAAATAGACGGAAAACATCAATGGTTACAGTGATTGAACTAGATGTGCTCCAAAAATGCATGTGGTGAATTAATAATATCCACTTAATGCTCCTACAATTTATAAATATCCACTTTAGCCCTCTATAGATTTTGTATTTATCCACATAATTCTTCTATAACTTTATACAAGGTGGTCTGATTGTTGTTCGATTTAATATTTAAGTAAGGGCAATAATAATAGTTCAACTAATTGTGTAACATAAGATTTTTTTTTGTAAAATTTCTATTTTATATGAAACCATAGAGGTTTTATATGAATATTGAAAATATTAGGGTTGTCATGTGACAATCAATGAATCTATAGGGGATTATGTGTATAATTTATCCTTTTAACTATATATAGAGAACTTTTTCTTAAAAGTATTGAACTAATAGACAGAGATTCAATTTGGGTCCACTTTACTCAAATTACAATTATCCTCCACGATGACGTTGTTTGATAGTTGTTAGCATCCTGAAATTTGCATTCCCGTCAAAATCCATTATTTTTTTTTTGTCAAACGGTAAAAATCTATTACTGACGTATTGAATTTTGGTTAGAGACCATTCAGCTGATGGTTCACGTCCAGGCGAGTTGGTTGTCTGCCAAGGTCAAGTTTTCCCAGGCCATAAGTTTTCCTGGCTTATGCAACTTTCATGGTCCCTCAAACAATACTTAATTTGGCTCCTAATCTACCAATCTAGTTTGTAGGTTGTTAGCCTTTTACTCTTTTGATGCCTTCCTTTGAAATGATCTCCAGAAATTTGTTGTTCCACTTCAAATATTACATGCTTTGTTTGCTTAGCTTCCATACCATTGAATATTGTTGTTCCACTTCCAACGACACAAACCCCTGGAACTATCTTGACTCTTACTGTGGAAATATTACATACAATCCTAACAGTCCTTCCGGCAGCATTTACAGAGCCAATCTGAATTTCTTGCTTGACACTCTGTCTTCGCATGCATCTTGGACAGACAACAATGGCTTCTATAATTTCAGTACTGGCGATGACCCTTCAAACAAGGTCTATGGCCTCTTTCTCTGTCGAGGTGATGTCAACACTGATGTTTGCAAAGAATGCGTCGCAGATGCCCGCACACGACTACTTCATGAGTGCCCGAATAAAACAGCTGCTATTGTTTGGTATGACGAGTGCTTGGTACGTTTTTCTGACCAGACGATCTTCTCCAAGGCTGATTTGGGAGAGAATTTGACTAGGCGCAATCCATTCGATGTCCCTGGACCTGACTGGGACAAATTCAAAATGGTATTGATCAATTTGTTGCATAACGCTGCGGATAAGGCTGCAAATCATACCACGGGCAAAAAGTTTGCTGTCGAAGAAGGCAATTATTCCACTGATCAAAAGAGATTGTATACCCTTACGCAGTGCACACCAGATCTATCCCCTTATGACTGCAAAAGGTGTCTCACAGAGGCTATAATAGATGTACCCGCGTGCTGTTCCAAGAAGCAGGGAGGGAGAGTAATTTATCCAAGCTGTAACCTGAGGTATGAGGTCTCCAGCTTCTATGATACTGTATCCTCTGCATCGCCAAACTCTCCTGGCGGTCCTCCTCCTAAATCCACTGAAGGTAAGTGCTTCTATGGCCGTCTCTTCTTGGAATTGGTGTTGAATACAATCTTAATTCTTACAATTTCTTGTTTGTAGTACTAAATTCACATGCCTTCATTTTAAATTCATACCTTTAGTATTGGAATTAATATTATTGAAGTTAGTAGAATATGTAAATATAGGATGAGGGGTGTGAATTCACTTTCAAACGAAAATATGTACCTATAGAAGACCGCCACGTAACTTATTGAATTTTCTAAGTCAAATTTTAGTTGAATACGCAACAGTAAGATTTCAGCATTGGCAGATCACATGCAAATTTGGATCCATCATTTGTCATTTATGGACAGTAAATTTAGTCTTTTTGCAAGCATTAGGACTGTAATAACTATTGAAGTAGAATTGTTATGGTCATTGCGGAATCCCTTTAACCGTGATGGCCTGACGTGCGAAAATGGGTTGGGCACTTTTGCATTACGTTTTTATTTAGTTATCTATCCATTTATCTATTATATGGTTTTTAAAACTCATATACTTATGTTATAATTTTATTTTGATTGCTTGATCAGCATACATGAATATAAAGTGCATTTGAGAAAGTTTTTGCATTCAATTTGCTAGAAACATTTACATAGTGTAAAAGGGTTTAAGTTCATGGAAAATTTTGCAATGATTAATCAAATGGAAAAAGTTTGGTATTTTTAGTTTAACTTTTGAGTTTAACTAAAATAGTACATGAGTTATATTATGAATGGTATTGATAGCAAAATTGATGTAAAAAAATGAAATTACTATGGCATAATGCAAAGAAGAATCCATTTTAGTTTTTCCACTTTAAGACAAAGACATTGAAGAAGATCGATGATGTATTGTATGCATGTAAAAGATTTTCTGTTATAGTGCAATATAATTTGTTTGCTAGTTTGAAATATGATATTAAATAATTAAATTAATGTTACTTCTTTGTGGTTTAATGTTTTACCTCTTAACCCCTTGTGGTTTCAAAATCGCAATTTTACCTTAGTTGTGCTTTGGCAACGTGAAGCCATTTGATCTTTCTTTGTTTTGTGACAAAACTAGCTGTCAAAATTTTGAATACAATTATTAAGAACTAAAGTAAGAAGAATTTCATATTTTAAGAAATAAAGTGCTTAACTTTGAAATTTAATGATTAAAGTGGTAGTATGTCTATAGTTCAAGAGCCCAAAGTAGAAAATAGCTGAGAAAAAAATATACAAGACAAATATTAGCATTGAAATCAACCAATACCATATTTACCCTCTTTGAAGTTAATTTAGCCTAAAAAGGAAAAATCAGTGATCCACTTTCAAAGAAAGTTCAAGGGGCCAGGATAATAGGATAATTTCACATGCACAAGAGATCATGAGGTAACACACTATATGCTTAGTGGCTAAGGTTGAGACCTTTGGATTTAGAGATCTTAAATTCAAATTTCCTTTCTCCTCCACTTTTAAATCCTATCATTGTTTTCTTGCCAAATAAAATTTTTTTACATTTGTTTCACAATGGATTTTTTGTTTTACTTTTTATTTCATCCCCTATTGTTATTGAACCTGACGTGACCCTAGCAGTTGAAACAATCAGCCCAATGAAATAGGCTATAAATGAGTTGAGTAGAGTCGACTTTGGTTTAATCGATTCAAACTTGACTTAGTTTTATCAAGCTCAAACTCGAGCTTGAACTCAACAAGCTCTCAATGTAACAACTCGAGCTCGAGCTTAACTCAAATTTGAATCGAGTTTGAATTCAAACTCGAGTTTAAAAAAATTATTTTATTTTTTAAAAAGGGAATAAAATAATAATTTTCTTAACAAATAATAAAATATTAGGAATATATACATAACTTTACTATTAAAATAAAAAATAATATATATATATATAATTAAGCCGGCTTATGAACTAATAAGCTGAATATCTTTGAACTCAAGTTTGAATTCGAGTTCGACTTGATCAGGTTGAGCTCGACTCGAGTTCGATGTTGCGTGGTGTGAAATCATCCAGCAAATAATAAATAAGGATTTGCACTTCAACACAAGGCTACAAGTGCATAGGGTAAAGAATGTTTTGGTGATTTGTCCAAACACAGTTAAGCTATTGGATTTTACTATGGGATCAAACTTTACATTTTTTTATCGTAATTTTGACCCATTTCGCACCGTCAAAGTGTTTTGTACAAATTGAATGACAAAAAATTCATAAATGAGAATGAATTTTAAGTATGTTGTTCTACTTGTGGAAGTAAAATTATTGACATAAATAGACTGTTATGAAAAATTTAGGCACATAAATGGTGAGAAAGTAATAGAGAGGATCTGAACTCTAGCTTTTTGTCTATGTAAGGCTGTCTCAGAGTGACTCTACCTCGAAGTTTAATAAACTTGATCTCCTATGATCAGCTGACTTTCGAAGCTAAATTAAACTAACTTTCATCCAGGCAAAGGGCGAAGCCCCCCGCGAGCAGCTTTTTCAATTGCTGTCCCATTAATTGGGGTTGCTGTTGTGCTATTTGTCATGGCTTTAGTTTTCCTGAAAAGAAGATTGCGGAAGAGTCGTGTTGCAATGGCACCGGAAACAAGTGGTAAAGTTTATTGATTGCAATTACAGGAAACCTCAGAGGTTTTTGAACTAATAAATTGAGTGAAGTTGCTTATCCCTGGTGTAGATGGAGTTGCTGAAATCCTAACAGCCGAATCCTTACAGTATAGCTTAACTGAAATTCAAATTGCCACAAATAACTTCTCTATGGATAACAAAATTGGCGAAGGTGGATTTGGTCGTGTATACAAGGTCTTTGCGTGAAATATTTTGCTTTTGTGAATTTGAATATCTACACATTTAATATTTCAATTAAATTCTAGTATGCATGTTTACTCAGGGTGTACTTGGTAATGGACAAGAAGTAGCTGTCAAAAGGCTGTCAAGGAGCTCAGTGCAAGGTGCAGAAGAATTTAAAAATGAAATTGTAGTAGTTGCAAAGCTTCAACACAGAAATCTAGTTCGGCTATTGGGATTTTGCCTGGAAGGAGAAGAAAAGATACTCATCTATGAATTTGTTGCCAACAAAAGCCTTGACTACTTTCTCTTTGGTGGGTTCAATCTAGACATACTTATAGTAATTTTTTGTTGTTCCATGTGATCTTGTTCTATTTTACTTGACTTGCCATTTTATGGAAATGACGGACAAATTGCCTCTAGACAAATGTTTAATTTTGGTTTAGACCCTTAAACCACAGACGCACTCAAACTTTAGTTCTTAAACTTTAATTTTGGATACTTCACGGGCACAAATATTAATTTACCTATTTGATTATGCTTTATGGAGTTATTGATTTAATAATTCTCAATGCTAGCACAATATATTGTGTTTAAATTTGTGTAGATCCAGAAAATAAACGATCATTGAACTGGTCAAGACGTTACAATATCATTGGAGGTATAGCAAAAGGACTTCTTTATCTGCATGAGGATTCTCGTCTAAGAATTGTTCATCGCGATCTCAAAGTAAGTAATATATTATTGGATGGAAATATGAGTCCAAAGATAGCAGATTTTGGCATGGCAAAGATTTGTGGAGTTGATCAATATGAAGGAAACACAAATAGAATTGCTGGGACAGTGTAAGTTTTGCTCCCATACTATCTTTTCTCACATAATATCACTTTGAATCTTTCATGGAAAATTAGGTACACGTCCATTTGATTCCATCATTCGGATTATCTTTGTACTGATTATAACAATCGTTGAGGCTTGTAGTGGTTATATGGCTCCTGAATACACAAGGTGGGGTCAGTTCTCACTAAAGTCAGACGTGTTTAGTTTTGGGGTTGTAATTTTGGAAATTGTCACGGGCAAGAAGAGCAGTGACTTCCATCAATCTAGAGATTCCGAAGACCTTCTAAGCTATGTAAGTACAAATTGCAAAACCTTTGCTATAGTTGTTACCTTTTTTTTTTTTGGCTTTTGCAGAACTGGGGAGGAGGATTTGATATTGGCACTCCTAATTTTCAACCTTTTATCTTTTCTTTTTTTTTTCATTATTAAATTCACCTAAACTTGCAATACCATTTTTTGTGTGAACCAGACCAAACTGGCACGATAATTTATGAACTACCTGCCCTAAATAACTACGTATTTCTGTTTATGTGATTCTTATGGAAATTTTTAGATGTCGGATGCAAGACTTGTCATAATTGCTATTCTTTCTCTCGTTTTGTACGTTGTCACACACTCAGAATAGAGTACTTGTGAATTTCAGTAAAGACCATTGTACTTCTTTCTCAGGTTATACTTAACTACAATGATGGGAAAAAAGGTTGCGATTCAAAATCTTTTATGAATAAATCTCATATACACTGACAGTGTATACATTATCACCTTTAGATTCATGATATATGTGTAAATGTTAAAATTTGAAATTCAAATTTTGCATAGTTGTTGTTCATCCAACGCTGACAACAGTGTGTACACTGTCAGTGTAGGAAAGATCAATCCATCTTTTTATATGATTAAGCTTGAAATAGAGAGTATTGACAATTGCCTATTGTGAATATTGACATTTACCTGTATATCTATTTAAGCTGATTGAAGTTTTTAAGAATGTACACCTTATGAGTGGGATTATTTCGAAAAGGCTTGGAACCATTGGAGACTCGGCCAAACTTTAGCTCTTTTGGATTCAAGCATTGGAGATTCTTATGCCAGAAATGAAGTCATTCAATGCATCCAAGTTGGCTTACTATGTGTTGAAGAAGATGCCAGTAAAAGACCCACAATGGCTTCCGTGGTCTGCATGCTCAATCCTGCTTCTGTTTCCCTACCAACTCCACATCGTCCGGCAGTTTTCCGGAGCAATGGATCGGAGAGCAGGGTAGACGAGCTGAAAGTTGATCAATCCAACACTCAAAGAATTTCAGCTCCAAGCTCTGTCAATGATGCATCAATTACTGAACCATATCCCAGATGAAGGAAGAAATAGGCCAATTCTGGAAGAAAATATCAAGTTCATCATCAGCATTATGTTGTAGATTTTGAAGCATGATTCATTTACCAGGAAGGTATCTAAATTTGCCCACTATTGTTGGAAATTAGGGGATCGTTTCAATGTTTGCTTCTTCACACTAATTGACTTCTTCCGCCTTAGGGGTATAAGGATGTGCTTGAAAGAAAATGCAAGTTGTTGTCGCTCTTTAGATATTTTTTAAAAATAGAAGAGCAATTTTATTTATGAACATTAATCCCCAGCTGATCGAACAAACAATGTGTCTTGAACTTTTATCATTTGTACATAGCAAAGTTGGCTTCCAAACTGAGTCTATCAATTATATCTTTGTACCAACGAATTATGAAGGATAGCCCGGCCGGGTTTACAATGTATACGTTTGGTAACAAAACCAATATAAAGGCTGTCTTGGTTCACAATTCTTGGAGTGTGTTATTAGTTAAAAGGCGTTTAAATTATATCAGATTCATCCTGATTTGGAACTTTTTCAGCATTCAATGATTTATTATCACCTAAGCTTTCTTAAGTATTCTATTGTAATAACATTGTACGTGCATTCATACAATCTTCGTATTTGTTATTCCTTCTTTTTTTTTTTTGGTTTAAAGTATTTACCCAATTTTGTCATTTAATTTTCTCTTTTCTTTATTCTTTTCTTTATTGCACTTACCTTTTTCTATTCTTCTTTTTAATGTAACTTAGCCAATCTTTTTCCCTTTTCTTTAAGCAAAGATAAAACCATTCATATAATTGTGTAAATATGATGGCTATCCCAACTATCAATGATTACGCAAAAAAGAAAAAGGATAGTTGATGCATTTATACAATCTTCACATTTAGCATATGAATTTTTTCAAGTGAATAACTACATCTGTGAATTATTCTGCTACATAAATAGTCACAAATAACCTAGAAATCTTGAGAATTTAAAGGTATATAAAATTCCATGAAATCCCCAAATGCATAGATGAAATTTAGAGTATGGAAATTGATATTAAAAAATACAAAATTATCAACCCAAAATAATACAAGTGAATACCTTAGCAAGTGTATGAGAGATAATGGCAGATCAACAAAATATTTCTTATTCTTCATCTTGGATTTTTCTTTCCTTCATTTCACTCTTTCTTTTTCTGGGTAAGGAAAAGCCAGGGAATTGTGATGTTGTGATTGGCAGGAAAAAATATTGGCACTTTAAGGAGGACTCCGTATTTCATAATTTTTTTTTAACTTTTTAACTCAAATTGGTGTCCAGATATTAATTATTATAGGTGATGGCGTATAAGTGTAACAGTAGAACACATAAAGGAAGTTTAGGTTGCAATACCTAATTGGGTGCCTATAAAGTCTTAATATATACCCTTAGTTAAGATATGTAAATGTTTTATCCATATCAAATTAGACATCATCTAATAAAATTAGATTAGATTAGTTACTGATTTAAATGTTGTCTTATCTTTTGGGTTTATATTTTGTGCCCCCAAAGCACCGAATAAGGAGTGGGTCTCCTTTTTTTTTTTTCAAAAGGGTAATTTGTTTGCTAAAGTGCTGCACTTCAAGGTGGTAATTTTAAAGGTTTAATGGAGGGCCGCCTTCCTTTTTCTATATGCTTATTTGGTGCTTTAAGCATCAAATAAAAAAAATCTTGATGTAAAGATAAATGAAACAAAAATAATAAATATTTCCCCTGTTTTTTGTCTTCCTTATCATAGAGCAAGTATTGTAGGGTCTTTATTTTGGGCAAAAAACTGCGGTGGTCCTCAAACTTTCAACTTTGTGCACTTTTAGTCCTTCAACTAATAAGTTCGTAAATGTAGTCCTCCAATTAATAAAAATGTGTAGTTGTAATCCTTTTGTCTAATTTAGCCGTTAAGATGGACGGGATGATACAAAAATGATACAAAAAATAAAGGGATAATTTCAGAAACCTCCCTTGAGGTTTTTAACAATTTCATTTAGCTTCCTTGAGATTTTAAAAATTATACATACCTCCTTATCATTTAAAATGACAATACTACCCTTAAATATTTTAATGAAATTTCCTTGTTTGGTATGTTTATACTTAGAATGACTTTAAAATTATTTTTTCATTCTTTTTCCATCTTATTCCTTTTTTTAAAAATTTTTTGCCAATAAAGTGGTAGAACTACCACTATTACCTCTAGTTTCTATTGTAACCAAATGTCCAACAAGTGATTTTTTTTTTTTGATGAGTTAACTTTATATGCAATACAATATTTTTGCTAATCTTTGTTTTCTATTTTTTGGTATTAAAATTAACAATAAATCAAAAGAAAATGGTCCAAAATCACTATTAAATTATGATAATCCAACTATTCAAAAAATTCATAAATTCTAAATAAATTATTTCAACATTTTCTTTTTTATCTTATAAATTTAAATCCATAATAAAATACCATCAAAAGCATCCTATCATAGTCATAAAAATATTATTATAGTTGTTTATCAAATAATAGGTATGGACATGAAAAATTTGGCACATTTTTCTTATAATTATACTAGATAACCTTATAATTGTATAGGGAAGTAAATTAAAACTCATTACACAAGGGTATTTTTGGTTATTCATTTAAAAATTTGACCTAGTCAATATTATTTTAAGGTTTTGTTACTAAAACTATCAAATCAAGGGAAGTAGGTGTAATTTTCCAAATCTCAAGGGAGCTCAATGAAATTGTTAGAAACCTCTAGGGAGGTTTTGTAATTATTCCAAAAATAAATGTCATGTGAGCAATCCATTATATGTTGTCCATCCATCTAAACAGTCAAATTGGACGGAAGGACTATAACTGCACATTTTTATTAATTGGAGGATTATATTTATGCACTTATTAGTTGGAGGGCTAAAAATGTGTAAAGTTAAAAATTTAAGGACCACCGCAGTTTTTTGCCCTTATTTAAAATTAGTTTATCTAACAAATAATGATTTTTAGTGTATGTTTATATATGATAGATTGGATGAAATATAGGTTCATTAATAAGTGGCCTTTTGACATCAGTTGAAATAATACTTTGATCCAAATTTAAATTAGAAACCATGGCACAATCATCTGAAATAGAATGGCGTAGTAGAGGTCTTGACTCCAACAAGCAATGCTTCCTTCTCGGTACTAACACTGTGAATTGAACCCTCCTCAGAACCACAAAGCATATGCCTTTTTTTTTCAATTATAAATTATTCTTTTTTATTTAATTTTACTCACAAATTATTCTTAAAGTTTTAAAAAAAAAGAAGAAGTCTCCACCCCTAACATTCATGCATATGTCTCGTACTAATAAATAAATAAAAAAAAAGTCCAACTCTGATTCCCGTCCAAAACCAAATTCCGCCATGTCAACTACTTCCATAAAAAATAAGAATGCCCAAATACCAATTTAGTTACCCAATCCTATAACAGAAAGCCCAAGTCAAAACAATTGAAAAACCCACCATCCCACCGTTACCTATTGACCTTTTGTTTTAAATTAATTATGCTTTTTCCCTTAAAAGGATAACCATGCAAATTCCATATCCTATCCTGTGTAACTTCTTGATTTTCGTCTTGTAAATTTCTATATAAAATTTTGTCCTAAGATAATTTTATTTGCAATGTTTCATTAATTCATCTACCCAAGCCTCCAGCATTCACTGTAGCTATTGGGCAAATCTTTTGTTTTTCTATGTTTCGTTTTGATGGAAGACAAAAATTCACTTTTAGATTTTCTTGGTCACAACTTTTTTTTATATATTCATTCAAAGATGAAACTTTCATTTTGTGCATTTAATATATATATATATATATATATATATAAATTAAGTGAATTTGAATCTTGGATGTCATTAGATACATATATATATATATATTAAGTGAATTTGAATCTTGGATATATGTCATTAGATAACATTTATAATAACAATAATTTTCTTGCCTCTGTTGGTTTAAAATTTAGTTATCCTTTCCTCCTTAGTCCAATAAATTGGCATTTTAGATTAAATAAAATTGACAATTACTTCTTCTATTTTTCAATCGGTATACTCAAGTATTACCACCAGTGTTTATTGAGGATTTTGGGCCCAGTAGGGGGTGTGGATGGTGGACGGAGAGTGGTTTAAGTGGTGCTCTATTGGATTGGTTACTTACTTGAAAGTTGACGGAGTGTCAACTATTATTTGATCAAGCTCTGGTGATGAAATGGAAATTTAGCTCTTGAGAGCCATCCGTATCCTTATACTATGGAATGATTCGTACTGATCGTGTTATTGTTTCGTTTTAAAAGAAAGCTTTACACTCGTTCATTTTGAGATTTGCTACTTGAAGCGTTATTGCTCACTTTTATGAACTTTTCATGCTCATTACCTTGCCACGTGATACTTGCACGTTTAAATCACGGTCAACTTGCTATTTGGAATCTCACTGGACTTTTAGCTCATTCCACGCCATTTATTTTTCTTACAGGGGTATGAGCAAGGCGTGAGACGTGTGTAGACTAGCGTAGTCTAATTGTTTTGACTTTTATAATTGTACTCGCACTAGTTGCTCGATTAAGGTTGAATGTACTGAGAACTTAAATCTTTTGATGTATTTGGGATTGTATGGATGGCTGAGAAAGAAATGAATGTATTCGTATGTTCCAAACTTGGGAACTATTATTTCGTTTATTATTGAGATTGCATCTTATTTTATTTGATGTGAGTGAGTGAGTCCTGACGAAAGTTGGGCAGGCGGTCAGCTAAACCCTAGGGTACGCCCAGGGGAAAGTGGGGCTGTCACACCAAATATCATAGGTGATGGTGTATTAGTGTAGCAGTAGAACACTTAAAAGGAAGTTTAGGTCGCAATACATAAGTGGGTGCCTAAAAAGTCTCAAATCATGATGATCCTGATGTGCACCTTAGTTAAGATATGTAAATGTTTTATCCATATCAAATTAGACATCATCTAATAAAATTAGATTAGATTAGCTACTGATTTAAATGTTGTCTTATCTTTTGGGTTTATATTTTGTGCCCTTAAAGCACCATAAGGAGTGGGTCTCTTTTTTTTTTTCAAAAGGGTAATTTGTTTGCTAATGTGCTGTATTTCAGGGTGGTAATTTTAAAGG